CTTCCAAATAGTAATACCCAACACATGGATTTTCTAATAATCTTAGAAAATGTTGTCGTTGACAGGAACAACAATGATCAAATAGTATATTGCAGATGTACACATTTTTGACCAGTAAACAAAAGGTAAATTGTTTACAAACCATTGGTAACCAACAATTTCATCCAAGTGTGTCATAATGATTCATGTGTTCATAGTGTTATACAAAGGTGATTTTATGCAATCCCTTTTTGAGGCTTATCAGAAGGACCACTTTTAATTTAGGCAGTTAGTATAATTTTATGTTTTACTTCAGGATATCCTCCAGTCATCAAATGATTCCACCAAATCAAGACCAAATCTTTCTTTATAAACTGTGCTATGTTACTTGGAATTTCCCTTACATCTTTGTACAAGTTCATGGAAATATTTTTTCTTGTCTGATTTATAATTAGTATGGCCCTATTACTGAAGTCAAGTTATCGAGTAAGACTTTAAAATAAGCTGTATGAACAGATTTGTATTAATAGCCTACATATTTAATCTGAAGTAACCCTGTAGAACAAAGTGTCTTGCAGTCCATGGAAACACTGAATTCAGAGAAACAGTTTAAATATTTCCTTAATGCTGTTCAGAAAGTCTGCTTAACTTTATTTACAACAGTAAGTCAGATTTGACTTCCAGTAAGAAACAATGCAGTATTGCAAAAGGTCTTAGAAATATATCATTCCCTGCACGGATTTTTTAAGGTCAGATATCTTGTTTTTTGCCTAGTGTTTTATTGTGGTTTTTGAAAACTAGTTCTTGCTTCAACAAAAAGAACCATCTTTGGTTACCAGGGCCCGTAGATGAGGAAAATGTTTCTCCGTTGATGTAAGAACTGAAGATTTTCACAAGGCCATGGGGGCTGCTTTGCAAAGGGGAACTCTGCAATCTGTAAGTCTGGAAGTGAGGCAAAGAGCGTACTGAGACAATTACTTCAGAGAGAGGGACACAGTGCCAACTCAAACAACTTTAGTGGCAGAAAGGCGAGCAGTCGGTAGGGTCGTTACGGAAACACCAGAGCACATGCACCAGCCTGCTGTTCTTCGTGAAATCTGAGGCCAGGATTTTAGGTTGCTGTTGAAAGCATAAGTAGTTGTTTTTTTATCTCCCTATTAGGACTGCTTTTGGGCATTGCTGTTGAGCCCAATTATATATCTGCAATGGAGCTCATTTCAGTGTTAGAACCAGTTTTGCAGTTTGCCTTTTATGAGAATGGAGCTGAGATAATTTACGCAGAAGGCACTGGCAACCAGAGAATTTGAATCACACTTCTTTACCAATAGTTTATTGGCCAGAGAATAATCATTGAGAATTATTTAAAGAGGTAGTGGCCAATTTAGGTTTTAATTTAGCTTATTCATTTTCTAGAAAGCTAGTTCTAATAGCAGGAAGTAAGTTTTGCAAATAAACAAAGCCACTGTAAAAGCACAAAAGGATAAAAAGCTTGTTTTAAAGTCGACCATTGTTTTGTTGGAGTGTTGCTTTATGAGATAAGTGCCTAAACAGAGGAAGCCAGTTTAATTTTTTTTATCTCTGTACACTGATGTATCTCTGTTTATTTTTGTTTAGTATTAAGTGATTTAACAATATATGGCTCTGAAAAGGAGAGTTTAAGTGCCCCACAAGCCCAGACCTCAAAATGCAAAGTCTCCAAAGCAAAAACATTTTTTCATGCTATTTATTAATAAGATACCTATTACATTGTAGAGAATAATTTAACAGTATATCAAGATTTTTTATCCACAAATGATCTATTGTTACTGTGTGTATGGTACTATCCTAAGGTGTGAGGATGGAATGTAAGTATACAGAAATAATTCGCACATCTTTATCTGGAGGACGTGCAAAGAAGAAAAATGTGAGGAACTGTTAGTGAATGGATTTAACAGACTTGCAGCTTTTGTCTTTTTGAAGTCATTTGAACAAGCGTGCATAGAACATTGTAATAAAATAGGATTGTAATAAAATCCTCCAATAGGATTGGAGGGTCATAAGGCAGCACGGTGGTGCACTGGGTAGGATTGCTGCCTCACAGCACTGGGGCCTTGGGTTCTGAACTTGGGGTGCTGTCTGCATCGAGTTTGAATGTTCTCCTTGTGTGGGTTTTTCCTCAGTTTCCACTTACAGTCCAAACACATACTGGTGGGTTAAATGGCTTTTGGGAAAATTGTCCCTGTTGTGAGTGTGTGTCCTGCGATGGGTTGGCGTCTCATCCAGGGTGTACCTTGCCTTACGCCCATTTGTTTGCTGGGATAGGCTCTGGTCTCTGACCATGAATTGGAAAACGTGGTTAGAAAATAGAGGGATGGAGGGACTTAAAAATCACATTGTTCAACACGAGGACTTTTTCATACGGTAAAGACATAGAGAAAACAAGAGTCTTTTGGGGGGTTAGGACAGGACTCAAAGATACTTTGTTTTCCTGCACTCCACTTAAAGACATTGCTTTTTGTTGGTTGCTTTAGAATTCTCTTTTATTTGGTTCTCCTCAAAGCATATAACATATTACAGAATGGACTGAAATAAGAAGCTAGTAGCATATTTTAAGAGCAGTTTTTTTATTAAAAGCATGAAATATGTTACGTCTTAAGCCCACAGATCTTTATACAGTACCTTTATACAGAAAGTGCATAAAATTAATGTATAGAATCTTTAGGTATAGTATTGGATCTTCATTTAAAACAAAGGAATATATCAGACATCAAAGCACCAACAACACAATGAATAATTCGTTTTTATTGGAAGTTTGAGTATTTTAACAATGGATGTGGTTCTAGAGTAAAGTGTGCTACTACTACCCTTATCTTCAAACCATTTTTAAGTTCTCCTGCGGCTTGTAGAGTTAAAAGCAGAAAGGTTTGTTTTTGTAAAGATGACCACTTTAGTTTGCAAGTGTTTAGTTTAAAAAGTTCAATTTTCTGTAAGTTGTGATGTGGTGCCTTTGACAAAGCTCAGATTCTGGGATCCATCGCAGTGCCTGTCAGTCTCAGTTGCTTTAGTGTGTGTTTTTCTCTGTTTTCCTATCTAAAAGAACAACACTGGAGTTTGTATGAGGGTGGTCTGTTCCATCACATCATGGCACTAAATGCCAAGTTTACTCTTGCAGTAGGATCCCTGCTGTAATTTACTTTCTTTTCCATTTGTTGTGAAACCATTGGATGGAGTACGGTCATGGGTATCATCCACAGTAAGGACTAGAATGCCATAGATTAAACAGGAGGTCTTCAAAAATGTCTTTCTTGTATGTAGGCAAGGCCTTCGTAAATAAACATTAATAGAGTTCTTTTACAAGTTTCACTATAATAGCTTTAAGAAGGACCTTGGCACGTCTGGAATTGCTTAGCTGAATCTCCACATGTTTGAATAGAGTGTAAAACAATAAAACCAAGCTAAAAAACAGTTGGAAACATCTATTTTTAATCCCTTGCACCTTAAAATTATGAAGACATTCTGTATGAAAGCAACATGTTCATGGCCTGCAGTGCACAGTTTGAGAGACACATTCTGCTATTTTCCACATCAGTTGAAATTTTCATGTTCAAGTCTTGAGCTGTGCTGTGTCCACAGGATGTTGTTGTGTTAGCCTTGTTTTTGTCTCAGGTTATTTTAGTAAATCATATTACTTTTGAGCTTTGAGCATGCTTCTATTTTCTTATGGTTTCCATCCCTTTGATGTTTTCTATATGCCAATGCTGAAGTTACAGATTTAGCTTTCCTGGTGTGAACCTGTCATCAGTAGAAAAACTTTGGCAATGCCTGACAATTTATTTTTTTTACAGAATTATGCAGTTTTGACATTTGGTAGTATTTTAGCTTGCTTTTCAGAGAGTTTCAAGTAACTGTTCTGTCTCATCATCTTACATATTACATTTGGCAGCTACTGTATATCAAAGAGTCAATGGAATGCGTGGATGTAGTTGTTTTATCTTGTCTTGTTTTATGACAGGCATTCAGATAAAAATAGTTTAAATGCTGCTATACGTCTTTACCTAAGATTTTCTGAGTTACACGCAGGAAGATGATTATAGATTTATTATACAAGAATGTACCTTCCAAGATGAGTTCATTCCAGCAAGTGAGTTTGTGCACAAGTCTATGCACTACCAGTCTTATTTTGTTTTAAAACTACTATACTAAAGGTTTTTTTAACAACCAGATGCAAATTACTCCCTTCTATGTTTGATTCCATTATCTCTTGTAATGGGGGAAAGAAGCTGAGTTATGTTAAGCATGGAGCTGATAATACTAAAATAAATTGCCTGACCCTCCAATTGCTACCATGACAGTAAGTCTTTTTAAACAGTGGTTCTCAACTCTGGTCCTGAGGGACTGCTGTGTCTGCTGGTTTTCCTTCCAGCTGTGCTCTTTATCATTGGTGCTAGATGATGTATATAATTGATCGCCTTGCTTGTTTTGATGATAAAGAATTTGCTTCCACATTTCTCACGAAAAAGCTCTTAATGAGCGATCAATTGATGATGAACAGACACAGGTCAGGATTACAGTGTCAGATATCTCCCACTGTTGGTGTTTTTCTTTCTCCTGTAGTACAATTGGCTTTATTTCAGCTTCTGCACCTGAAATAAAACACATTAAAAGCACACCTATAATAGAAAATTCAAATCTTTTAGCTTATGGTTAAGAAGTTTGCTAGAGCAAAAAGCAAAAGACAGCTGTCTCTCAGGACTAAGTTTGAACACTACTGATCTATAGCACAGCTGTACTGTGTGTTCAACTGTGCCTCACAGTGTTAGTAGATCTAATCTGCCTACTAAAGTAGAGCATTCAAAATCTGCAGATCGGTGACCTAAGAATGGTGTATCCTTTTCATTATCTACAAAAGAAGACAAATGACAAACTAATGAACTGAACAAATGCCTTTGGTCTTAGAAAGTTGCTGTAACAAAAAAAAATGTTTTCTTTCACCATTTGTTTTTTCAAAACACGTTTTTGTTTTTGTTTTCTGTCTGTTTTAGCAATGGAGGAGTTGGTGTCAGAGCTGCGGATATTCTTGGAGCTCTTGGACCGCGAATATCTCACCGCCTCTGTACGTGAAAAGAAGGCTCTGATCTCCAACATTCTCAACAGGGTACTAGCAGAAAAAGGTTAGTCCAAAACTGAACTATGCACTGCAACATGTGACGTACTATATTCGGGGCAAAAACACTATTGTCTTGAATTCTCTTGAAATTTCGCATCTCAAAAACATGTCTCCTGTAACACAGGAAGATATTTAATTTCTCTATTCATATTTTATTTAGAAGTTAAAAATAGTAGAATAAAAAACATAGCAACTGAGCTGTGAGTTCCGACTCTTTCATTATATCTTGCAACCCCTTGACTTAAGGTTTTGTCATCAGAATTTACTAAAGAGTAGTTTACATAACCCAAATGTTCCTATTGCATTTCTTATGAAAGGGTGAACCACACATTTTGTGTTCAAGTCCAAACCACATCAGGCCCCTAGCTTATATATAGTTGTTTATTTTTATACTCTTATAAAAACAGAACAGACCTGAAATAGCAGAAATTCTAGGTATAGGTACATGGTAAATTTAAGAAGAAGTTAAGAAAACATCTGCAGTACATTTAAACTGGGTTAATGCCCCATTTCCTGATATTTGGACTGGAACATTTATGCTTATAATATAATACTAAATATTTAATACATTTATAAATACATAAATACTTATATAAATAATGATTTGAATATGAATGTGCAGATTAACTATATGACCTTGATATCCTTTGTAAGAAGAAGGCAGAGCACATTGCAAGAGACTGCATTTTATAATGGCGGCAATTTCTGTGAATTGTAGTATGGATTTCATATGTTTAATATGTAAAATGTTGTATGGAAAAGTATCTAAGGACATTATTGTTGTCCAAATTCTGCCTGCACTAAATAGAGTTGACAGCGGCACAAACACTGAAGACCTATAGGTAAGGTATGTTTTGGATGCAGAAAATAGATTGATAAAAGACAGGATAGATAAAATGGCTGTTGAATTAATGAGAACTGTTAAAATAAAGCAGTTTTCATTATTTTCATTGAAAATTTCTCAATTTAAAATGGTCTGTTGATAAATCATTTTTCCAGCTAATGTGCATTTTTAGATATTTGTACACTCCTGTCTCTATTATACAGTGTATATTTAGCAGTAATTATGGTAAATTGCTGGCTTTTGTGCTTCCTGTGCAGCAGGTGTTATGATCCCATTTGTCTTTGTGATATCATACCAGTAAATGTGATTAAGACAGGAAACCTACAAGTTAAAACCTGCAGCTAAAGATGGAACACACATGAAACACATCTTCTTTGCTGGTTTTATAATAAGCATATTGTGTGTCAGAGTGGAAATACTACTTAGTGGCTAGAAATTTAAAGAAATATTTTAAGGTATCTGCGTTGAGCTCATTAAGGCAACATTCAAACTCCATTTAATTAAAGATAAGCCAACCATCCCTCCTTGGAACCACAGTGGAGTCTTTTAGACAACTGATAGCCTGTTCCTAAGGAGAACGTCTTCTGCTCTGTCCACTGGGAGAGCTGTTGGAATGCTTTTGGTCTGCAGCAGTAGTTTGTAATCTCCCGACTCTAATATGGACACTGATTTGTTGGTTTTATTCATTTTTACCTACACAGTTCAACATAATATCTAACACTTCATTTCCTCTCTTTCACACCACAGAGCCCTCGTACAAGTCAGAGATTCACAGCAGTCTTCCAGCCCCTCCACAGATGCCTCTTCCAGAAATCCCTCATCCTTGGCTGGTAAGATCTCTGTGCATATAAGGTCGACTTCTCCAAAGGGATCCGGATGGGATAGGAAATATACCAGCCAAAAATCTAAGCTACTTTGTAAATGTGATGCACAAAATTCCATCACTTTAGAAAGTGCACTTTTAATCGTAGAATAAAATATTATTGTGAGGGTAAAATAAGATTTGAAGGAATGTTATTTTCTCAAAACAGTTCAGGAAGACAGCAGAGGTCAGTGACTTTTAGAGAGGCAGCGTAACAAGATCCGAGAGCAGATTATCCAACAGGGGCAGAACAGAAGGCTTCATCCAATATCCAAAGCTGAGGTCGAGAAGCCAGAAAAATCCAAAGGAGTGAAGAGTGCGAAATGAGTAGACTGAGCTGGCAGCAAGCTGACAAGTCAGGGACTCTAATACTGAGCGTGGAAAAGCGAGACAAGAGGGTTTAAATAGCGGAGAGCTTCAGCATGATTAGAAAATGAGGTAATTAGTGAGGGCGCGTGCGGAATGTGGTTGTCACATGACTGATTGCTCTTACAATTTAAATTTATTACAAATAATCAAATCAGATTTGATTATTTCTTCCTTTTCCCATCATTTTATGGTTATACTGCTGTATACATGCAAAACCGTATTTCCCTATCTGTTGTTGTTAGCACAGCTCTAATCATATGCCACGAGTTATATTCTATGAAGCTCATTCAATAGCATTTCATTGGGGCTGAGCTCTGAGGATGAATGAAATCTTTCCAATTCAAATAATTTAGATTTAGTTTTAGGGTGTTTCATGTTGTTACATCAGTAAAAGCAGACCGTTTATTAACAGTTTGCCTTCATGACGTTAAAGAAGTAAATAGTATCGGGCCTTTATAAATGCACTTTATTCTTTTACTCTGCTTTATCTATTTTTTTGTAATTTTGGAACTTTGTTACTACATCCCTGTTGTAATACAGAACATACACAGGAGTGTAAGTGAGATACCATTGCTCTCAGGAAAAAGACAAAGTTACTTTTCACAAGAGATAACTATTCTCTCTAGGACATCATGATATAGAAGAAGACACTGAGACAAAATGGCAGGTTGGATTTACAAATGGCAAATTAAATTTGGCATTGATAAATTCAAAGTGATCCACACAGGTTTTTTTTAAAATCTGAGCTGCAGGAAGCTACACAATAAAGGGATCTGGATTTTTATGTAGGCTCCATGTTCTCCAGTGTCTCTAGACATTATACCAAACAAGGTAAACAGAATGACTTGGTTTTAGCAAAACGTGTGAAATATAAATCCAGGGAAATTATGCTTAAGATTTATAATGCACCAGCAAGACCTCACTTTAGATGTGGTTACCCTACAACACAAAATATATTATGGCTTTAAAAAGAGTTCAAAGAAGAGCAACACAAATTATTTCTGGTCTTAGGGGGTTGATATATGGACAGGATATGGGAGCTAGGCCTAGAACAAAGGAGATTAAGAAGGGGTTGGAGATCAAGTATATAATATCTTAAGGAATATAGAAAGAGTTAGTCAAGGGGACTTTTTCATTCCCAGTAGTGAAAGAAGAACAAAAGGTTTCAATTGGAAACTAAGAGGGAATTTCATTTAGGAAAGAGAACAGGAAACACTTCTGTACAAAAAATATTTTGGGTATCTGGAAGAGGCTTTCCAGCCAGGTGGTTGAGGCCCAACCTGTAGGCACCTTAAAGAAACAGCTGGACACAATTTTAGTTTCATATGACTGCCAAAGTACCAATTGAGCAAGATTGGCCTTTTATCCTTTTTTTAGGTTATTATAGAAGAAGACAGTGTTTTTCTTAATGGCATGAAGACCACAATCAAATGTGCCCAAGGCTGGAAGACAAAACACTAAAAGTGTGGTGATTGAAGGGTCCAGACTCGCATCTTGCTACTGTGTTAGAAATGTCAAAGAGAGCAATCAAGTCCCATCTTTGAAGAGCTAATATAATGCAGAGCCTTGCAGCTCTAAAACCTGGGATGAGATGTGGAAAATGTCCGTATATCTAGAATGTGCAATGAACCATAAAGAATGGCCAAAGGGCATTAGTGTTGTTGACACCTTCAAGAATATTTAGTTATTTCAGAAAATCAGCTTGTGAGGAGAAAAAAACTAAATGTCGTGTATTTTCTGCAGTAGAACATAAATGGCCTCATTCATAAAGATTTTGTAAGAGTCCAGAAAGGACATGATCTGGAAAACATACACTATGTAAAATCCAAATGTTTTCACAAAGATGAGTGTCCCTTATGTAGTTGTGTGCAATGGAAATCGGCAAAGGACTAAAACAGCTACATGTATCTAAGTAACGTGCACTTAGCTCATATAAGGAGATGTTCCTAATCGGAAAGTACACTTGAAGATAATGGATGTCTGTGCAATGGTGCTGTACGCTGACTATAAAGGATGGGGTGGAGAAGGAGAACATGTGTGGAAGGGTAGGAGGAGCAGTGCGTAGAAACAGTTGTATTTTAGAGAATGGAAAAATCAGCTTCTTTTCACAGTACCATTATGTAAGAAGGATACTTCTGCTTTCCATCCATCATCAGAGAATTTCCATGGATATAATTTGCATATTGTTACACCTACTCCCTGCTTCACCTCATTTACAAAGAAGCTGGGGTACATGGCATACATTAGCACGTATTAAGTATAATCAGCGTTCTACTCATCTTAAGTTTTTACATGTGTAGGCATGTGCTGTGAAGCTTTCAAATTCTACATTTCAGGATTTTTGACATTTACTTCCATTCCATCTTGCATTAGATCCCTTTATCCCTTAGCCCTAGAGCCATTCCATTCTCCAGCACCATTAAACAATTTGCTGATATTATAGGGCCAGAGATCAAGCATATTTAGCATTAACTGTTATTACATTGCTTAAGACTAATTTATGCACAAAATCAGAATTGCTGCAGATTGATTCCAGGTTACTTTATTGCCGTTTCCCTTTAGATATACCCCACATTTTATAGAAGATACCTCCTTACATAGCCTTACATCTATTCCTCATATTTCAACTATTCTAGTATCTAATTAGAAACACTCTTTTGTGGGCTCAAAAGAGCTCCTTTGTATTTTCAAGAATGCTGGTCATAGAATTCCGTAACTGCAATTACAATTGATTATAGAGCCAGATTGACCTCTGGCATGTTTTTAGATCTGGTCTACCAGACCACATTGCTTTGGCTCGGAAGTGGACAACTGTCCAGGGTTTTACTGAACCCAAAGAAGGAAGAGTAGATATTGAAGGAGGCGCATGAACCAGGTCAATGACAGGGCAGGAAATGCTTGATAAATCTTAGACACATAATCCACAGGAGCTATTGTGTGTACTGCAGACCTTTGTCATGCTGTCTCATGTTTCATACAATATGGGTTAGGGCAGCTAGTCTAAATCTGGAATTCCGGTGTGCATGCAGTTCAATATAGAAATAATATTTAGTTTGGGTTTGCAAGCAGCTCCACGATTGATCAGATTGGTTGTATAGCATTTCACCTTGGAATCCTCAATAGTTCATTCTGATAAAAACAATATTGGCTTACATTTAACATCCTGTTGGTACTGGGCTTGGAAAGATTACAGCTTGCGTCTTTTTAGCAACATCGCTTTAGAACTGTCCATACCTATCTATCTGTCTGTATATACTTATATATTTTCTAATAATTTGGTATAATTCTTAGGCTACCTATATACTTTAACTATAACTGCACTGTATATTGAGTGGAAACCACTAAAATGTATGACAAGTATTAGCTTCTTTAATATTACGTTGTCTATTATCAAAATCAGAATCACCATTAAAGACTAGGCACGCTGTGGTTTCTATGCTATACTGGTGTATTAAACACTACTATAGATTCGTCCTGTGCTGACTAGTTTAGTCATCAATAGAATTTAAAAATGGGATGGGCTGGGATTGAAATGTGCTTAAAACAGTTAGATTTGATGTAATTTCTTGACAGTACAGTAGGTGCCGTTTTTAGCAAGTAAAAATTACCTGACTGAGTCTCTCTTGAACGGCTGCTCGTTGTTATAGGATATGATCAAATCACCTTAATGTTAGGCTTTCAGTTTTAGCTTAGCCTCACCACCTGTTTTAACCCCTTAAGAGTATACCTGATGTGTTTAAAAAAACTAAAGCGGGCCCTAAAATATCTTTAAAACCCCCGATCAAAGATATCGCCTTTATATCTAAAGATGTAATGATTGTGAGAGGTCAGTAAAGTGTATTGTCATTAGGTAAAAAAAATAACAGCAATTGTTACAGCATGCCACATGTATCTCTCAATCTCTTGCAAAACAGGTCTCAAAGCTGCACGAGTCCTGTATGAGTGTTTAGAATAGCTGGGCCCTGCAGAGATTCAAATGGATTCCATCTGTGTTGATATTGGCTGAATATACCCCCCCACCCAGCTGTGCTGACTAACCAGCTCACTAAAGGGGTCTGACTCAGACAAGCACCATTTGTGTTTCATTTCCTCTTTCTTTGCGTTCTGGCGAACCTTTAGACAAATAAATGAGCTTTATCCTGGGTTTTGTTGGAATGTTTGCATTTTAAGTGGCGGACACTCATTTTTTGAAGGTCCGTTTTTGTTTTTGTTTTTTTTCATACATGAATTGACAGCTTTATTTTACTTTGAAACAAGAATACAATATATTATATCTGTCTACATGATACATAGATTTTTTTTTGCTGTCAATAAATATACAATGCTGTTAGTTTTGTTATTTTCTTGTACTGTACAGTACATGCTAAGGGCAAAACTTGGTGGTCTCAAAAATCTAGTTTCGACCTGGGTGAATCCCAAAGTTATTGCTTTTTTCAGCATTCATCTGCCTCCAGTGAAGTGACTGGACAAGTAACACTCACCCTAACCCTTAAAAGAAATGGTAACTTCAGGATTCGCGTAGAACTCTTGGACAAAACTAGATTCACCAAACCACTGCCTTCTACCCTTAACCTACAGAGTGAGTATATATTTCATCAT